GGCACAGGGATGGCTTTGATGGCACAGGCAGGGCTCTGGTGGCACAGGCAGGGCTCTGGTGGCCCTGAGGTGTCAGTGGCCCAGAGAAGGCTCCCTGAGGTGTCAGTGGCACAGGGATGGCTTTGATGGCACAGGAGGGGTCTCTGGTGGCACAGGCAGGGCTCTGGTGGCCCAAGGAAAGCTGTGGTGGCCCTCAAGGTGTCAGTGGCACAGGGAAGGCTGTGGTGGCCCATGAGGTGTCAGTGGCACAGGCAGGGCTCTGGTGGCCCAGGGAAGGCTCCCTGAAGTGTCAGAGGCACAGGGATGGCTTTGGTGGCATAGGGAGGGCTCTGGTGGCCCATGAGGTGTCAGTGGCACAGGCAGGGCTCTGGTGGCCCAGGGAAGGCTCCCTGAAGTGTCAGAGGCACAGGGATGGCTTTGGTGGCATAGGGAGGGCTCTGGTGGCCCATGAGGTGTCTGTGGCACAGGGAGGGCTCTGGTGGCCCTCAAGGTGTCAGTGGCCCAGGGAGGGCTCTGGTGGCCCTGTCAGTGGGAATTGTCCCCAGACCCTCCCCAGAGCAGCAGGAGGAGGTGCAGCAGCTGGCCCAGCCCAGGTCACACCAGGTGACAGCAGGTGACAGCTTTGGTGGCCATATGGCCAAAGCCTGGTGCCCTCAGCTGCCCTAAGCTCCTTTTCCATGGAGGTGCCCCCCAGATCCCAGGGTGGAGCTGTGGAAAATGGGATGGATTTATTCTGCTTATCCTCTGCCATTGTGATCAAATCACCTTTTTTTTTTTTTCTTTTTAATTTCATAGAAAACAACCCAAACATGTTCTGTTTAACTTTTCCAGAGTCTTTAAAAGTTTTATTGCTGGGAATTATCCCAAGTTCAAACCCACTGGTGGGAGGGAATTGCCTCCTTTAATCCCTCTTCTTTCTCATCCCTGCCCTCAAATGGAGTGGAATAAGCTCTCAGCATGACCAGAATTCCCTCTGGAAGCAGAATTTGCTGGATTTATATCCAGGGAAGGGTCAGAAAGCTGAACCTGCACAAATCCCTGAGCCTTGGAGAGTGTACAAGGTCCAGGCTGGGAAATCCCTGCTGCCTCCTTTTCCTGCCCCTCTGTCTGATTCTGGCTGCTCCATGGATTTGATCCTAGTGAACAGTTTTAGGAGCAGCTGGATGCTTCCATAATTAGCCAAAAATCTGTGGGTTTAATCTCTGCTGGAGAGAGAGAGAGAGGGGCTCAGGGAGAAAGGACATTGGGATGGATCCTCCTGTGAGCAAACCCAGCCTGGAGAGGGCTGGCAATTGATCCTGTGCCACAAACAGCTGACACAACAGAAGTGCCAATAATCCCCCATTAAATATCTCTCAGTTGCTGGGGCTCACTGGCTAATTGACTTTCCAGCAGCAATTAGTGGCTCAAACCCAATCAGCAGGCATTAGGGAGCTCGGGGTGGGGCACGGAGCTGTGCACGAGCTCTTCATCTTCCTCATTCAATGGGAGCCTCACAGCCAGATGGTTCTGAGATTTTGGGGTGCTGCACCCAGGGGGTGCTTTTGGGATGCTGGGACCTTTTCTCTCCATGTGTTTGTCCAAGTGGATTTGGCTCTTCCATTTTCCAGCGCATGCTAGATCTGGACTTTTTGGGGTTGTTCTTAGGATGCCTGGTTCTATTTCAGGGTTATTTTGGCCTTCCATCCAGCTGGAGCTGCTGCTTTATTTCAGGTGCTGGAGCACCTCAGAGGCTGCTTTTGAGGGTTTTGCACCTTTTCTGCCCATGTGTTTGTCCAGGTGGATTTGGCTCTTCCCTTTTCTAGCACATGCTGGACTTGGACTGTACAGAGTTGTTCTCAGGGTGCCTGGATTTATTTCAGGGTCATCCTGGCTTTCCATCCAGCTGGAGCTGCTGGTTTATTTCAGAATTTATTTCTCCAGAATTCCCAGGGGGTGCTTTTGGGGTGCTGGGACCTTTTCTCCCCATGGCTTTGTCTGGGTGGATTTGACTCTTCCCTTTTCTAGCACACGTTGGACTGGGACTTTACAGAGTTGTTGTTCTCAGGATGCCTGGATTTATTTCAGGGTCATCCTGACTTTTCCATCCAGCTGGAGCTGCTGGTTTATTTGAGGTGCAGGAGCACCTCCAGAATTCCCAGAGGGTGCTTTTGGGGTGCTGGGACCTTTTTTCTCCATGTGTTTGTCCAGGTGGATTTGGCTCTTCCCTTTCCAACATGTGCAGCACTGGGACTTTATGGAGTTGTTGTTCTCAGAGTGCCTGGATTTATTTCAGGGCTATCCTGGATTTCCATCCACCTGGAGTAGCTGGTTTGTTTCAGAATTCAGAATTTATTTCTCCAGAATTCCCAGGGGGTGCTTTTGGGGTGCTGGGACCTTTTCTCTCCATGTGTTTGTCCCAGGTGGATTTGGCTCTTCCCTTTTCTAGCACATGCTGGACTTGGACTGTACAGAGTTGTTGTTCTCAGAGTGCCTGGATTTATTTCAGGGTCATCCTGACTTTTCCATCCAGCTGGAGCTGCTGGTTTATTTGAGGTGCAGGAGCACCTCCAGAATTCCCAGGGGGTGCTTTTGGGGTGCTGGGACCTTTTTTCTCCATGTGTTTGTCCCAGGTGGATTTGGGTCTTCCCTTTCCAACATGTGCAGCACTGGGACTTTATGGAGTTGCTGTTCTCAGGGTGCCTGGATTTATATCAGGGTCATCCTGGCCTTCCATCCAGCTGGAGCTGCTGGTTTATTTCAGAATTCAGAATTTATTTCTCCAGAATTCCCAGGGGGTGCTTTTGGGGTGCTGGGACCTTTTTTCTCCATGTGTTTGTCCGGGTGGATTTGACTCTTCCCTTTTCCAGCACGCACTGGACCAGGACTTGACAGAGTTGTTGTTCTCAGGGTGCCTGGATTTATTTCAGGGCTATCCTGGCTTTTCCATCCAGCTGGAGCTGCTGCTTTATTTCAGGGGCTGGGGCACCTCAGAGTCTGCTTTTGAGGGTTTTGCACCTTTTCTGCCCGTGTGTTTGTCCCAGGTGGATTTGGCTCTTCCCTTTCCAACATGTGCAGCACTGGGACTTTATGGAGTTGTTGTTCTCAGGGTGCCTGGATTTATATCAGGGTCATCCTGGCCTTCCATCCAGCTGGAGCTGCTGGTTTATTTCAGAATTCAGAATTTATTTCTCCAGAATTCCCAGGGGGTGCTTTTGGGGTGCTGGGACCTTTTCTCTCCATGTGTTTGTCCAAGTGGATTTGGCTCTTCCCTTTTCCAGCACGCACTGGACCAGGACTTTACAGAGTTGTTGTTCTCAGGATTTATTTCAGGGCTATCCTGGCTTTTCCATCCAGCTGGAGCTGCTGGTTTCCATCCTTTGGAGACCACTCCAGCATGGTGATTCCCAAGTGGAATAGGCCCTAACCTGATGAATCCTTTTAAGGAGCCTTAATCCAGCAAAGCTGAGCTCTCCATTTCTCTGGTGGAAAATCCACATCCTCCTGGAGTCAGGGCACCAGAGGGATTATTCCCCTCCTTCTGCTCCTGCTTTTCCAGGGAAGCACAGGGAGGATGGTCTGGAGGTCAGGAAGGAAGGGTGACACCTTTCACCAGGGGCTCTGTGGAAAAAAGAGGGAGATGAGGGCAAAAATGAGCTCTGTAGGTGCTGGATGTCACCCAGCAGAGGCACTGAGGAGGTGACATCCTGCTCCTCAGGAGGGGAGGAGAAATTCCACTTCCAGGATTTGAAATCCCTCATGGGGAAATTTTAACCAAAAAAAAAAAAAAACCCTAAAAAGTTTTGTGTTAAAATTTAAGAAACAAATAGAAACATTTAGTTTCCTTCAGTCTTCAGGTTGTTGTTTATTTTTTCTCTTGTCAACAATTCAGCGCACCCTCTATATACCAAACTTAGTGTGGGAAAAAAAAGCACCAAAAAATCACAAAACGCACAAGTTTTAAAACTATTTTGTTTAATTAACTCTTAAACTTTTTTACCAATAACTAATTATTTGTCTGTTTACCCAACATCCACATTTCAGCTCTTTCTAACCAATCAAACACTGCAGAAAGTGGAGTAGATGAAGAATAAGATCAAACAACACCCAAAGTCTTCCATCTTGTCTCCTTCTACCTGCATATCAAAAACCTGAAACTTAAGTTTTTCACCCTGTAATAAACTGGGTGTATGATAAAATAATAAAATTAAGTTCTTATAATATATATAATATCTATATTATAATATATATTGTATAGTATATAATATATAAAAATATACAACACATTATATATTTTTATATTTTTATATATAATATATAGTAGATATGATATATTATAGACATTATAATATATATAATCATTTTATATATAATATATATTCTATTATATTATATATATTAGATATATAAACTATATACAATTATATATATTAGATATATAATTTATTATATATGTAATAATTATTAAATAGCAATATAATATATTAATTATATTTATTAAACAATAAATATTTATATGTTATAAATCTATTATTTGTATAAATATATTATTTATTTATATGTTCATTTTATTAAACAATAAAATAATAAGATATCTCTTTCTTTCATACACTCATAGATTCCAATCCACCCCAAAGTTTTAGAAGCTTTTTTTCATTTTAGTTTAGCTTTTAATTTTAATTATTCTGTTTTAGCTTAGCTTTTAATTTTAATTTTTTAATTCCAGTTTAGCTTTTAGTTTTAAATCTTTAGAAGTGTGGTAATCTCCATAAATGAAGATAAAAAGCAGTGTTCTCCTAGGGATCAACCCTCAGACCAGGCAGAGAAACATTCCCTGTACCCTGAATTCCAACACCAGGAAACTGGAACACAACCACAAACCCCCTCCCCACCTTTCTCACCACCTCAGGCTGAACCAGCAGCTGCTTTTCTGTGTGTTTGTGCCTAAAAACCCAAAAAACCCAAAAAACCCCAACCTCCTGGGGCCTCTCCCTCCATCCTGTGCTGTTTTTGCTCCCCAGAACGGCGGCGGGAGCTGGAGCGACGAAGGCGACGCCGGCCGGGGAAGGGAAATCTCCCGAGACTTTGCCAAGGTCTGTCTGGGGAAATTGGGAAATTTGGGGAGCTTGGGGAATTTGGGGAATCCTCCCCTGACCCATGGCAGAGCCCTCCCTGCAGGGAATTTATGGGGAAATTGCTTCGTTCTGCAGTTTGGGGCTGGTTTGTTGCCTTGTATGGGGTTACGGTATTTAATTCTTATTGAAATAGGAATTAACAACCAAACTTGGGATATTTAAAAGCTTTAATCCAGTTTTTCTCCAGCTGGGAGAAGAATATTCTCCCTCTGGAATGCTGTGCTCATGGATTTGAATGTGCAGCAGCTGGAGGGGTTCAGTTTAAACTAAGGCAGCTCTGCTGTCCCAGAGCTTCCCAGGAATTCAGCCCCAAAAAGCTCCTCTCCTCTGGGATACACTGCCTAAAGAAATTCATTTTAATAATTTGGCTGTTTCAAGCCCAAATTATAAATAATAAATATTAATAAATAGTTCTATTTTATAAATATTTATATTTTATATAATATTTAAATAAATATTATATAAAATTTCTATTCTATAAATATGTCTATTTATAAAATATTTCTATTTTATAACTATTTATTATTTATAGAAGTGTCATATAAAATTTGTTTTATAAATATGTATTATATATAGATATAAATATTTATAAATAATAGAATAGAAATAATAACTTAAAAATGATTCCCACAAATCAATTCTGGGCTGGTTTCTGGCATTTCTGAAGGCTTTTGGTTTATTCCAGCTCTGGGGATCCATTCTATCTCTGGGGATTCCCATTCCATTTCTGGGGATCTTTTCAATTTCTGGGGTTCTTTTCCAGCTCTGGGGATCCTTTTTTGGTTTTTTTTTTTTTCCTAGGGATCATTTACATTCCTGGGAATCTTTTTTTTTTTTTTTTTTTTTTTTTTTTTCCCCTGGGAATCCATTCCATTTCTGGGAAACCATTTCCTTTCTGGGGTTCTATTTCATTTTCATTTTACTTTTCCATCCCTGGGGATCCATTGCAGTCCAGGGATCCTTTCCATTTCTGGGGATCTTTTCCAGCTCTGGGAATCCATTCGATTTCTGGGGATCTTTTCAATTTTCATCTTTTTTTTCCAGCTCTGGGAATCCATTCCATTCCTGGGGATCCATCCCATTCCTGGGAATCCTTTCCATTTCTGTGAATCCATTCCAGCTCTGGGGATCCATTCAATTTTTGTTGATCCATTCCATTTCTGGGACTCCATCCCATCTCTGGGCACCCATTCCATTTTGGGGGATCCATTCCATTTCTGGGAAACCATTCCCTTTCTGGGGATATTTTTCATTTTCATTTTTCTTTTCCAGCTCTGGGAATCCATTCCATTCCTGGGAATCCTTTCCATTTCTGGACATTTATCTCATTTCTGGGAATCCATTCCATCCCTGGGAATCCCATTCCATTTTTGTTGATCCATTCCAGCTCTGGGCATCTTTTTCATTTTCTTTTTATTTTTCCATCTCTGGGGATCCATTCCATCTCTGGGAATCTTTTCCATTCCTGGGCATCCATTCAATTTCTGGGAAACCATTTCCTTTCTGGGGATCTATTTCATTTTCATTTTTCTTTTCCATCTCTGGGGATCCATTCCATTTTTGTTGATCCATTCCATTTCTGGGACTCCATCCCATCTCTGGGCACCCATTCCATTTTGGGGGATCCATTCCATTTCTGGGAAACCATTTCCTTTCTGGGGATATTTTTCATTTTCATTTTTCTTTTCCATTTCTGGAGATCTTTTCCAGCTCTGGGAATCCCATTCCATTTTTGTTGATCCATTCCATCTCTGGGCATCTTTTCCATTTCTGGGCACCCATTCCATTTTGGGGGATCCATTCCATTTCTGGGAAACCATTTCCTTTCTGGGGATATTTTTCATTTTCTTTTTTTTTTTTTCCCCCATCCCTGGGGATCCATCCCATCCCTGGGGATCCATTGCATTCCAGGGATCCTTTCCATTCCTGGGGATCTTTTCCAGCCATGGCCCCTGAGCCCCCAGGACCCTCTCTGTGTCTGCTGTGCTGTCCTTTCCCCCCTGGAAGCAGGCAGGATTCTGGAATGTTCTGTGCCCTCACTGTGCTTTGTCCCCCCAGCTGTACGAGCTGGACAGCGACCCTGAGAGGAAGGAGTTCCTGGATGACCTCTTCATCTTCATGCAGAAGAGGGGTGAGTGACCTTTCCTGGCATTCCAGGGGTGGAATGGGGCAGGAGAGGGAATTCTTCCCTCCTGAGGCTGGAAAAAAACAAATCCTGGAGTTTGGGGCATTTCCCTTGGCATTTGAGGACAGCAGCAAGGAAGATCTGGCCTGTAAATTAAATTAAATTAATAAAATAAATTAATTTTAGAAATTAATTTAATTTAATGATTTCATTTAAATTAATTAATTTAATTATTAGTTTTAATTATTTAATTCAGTTGAATTAAATTAAATTAAATTTGCCTTCAATTTCTTCACCTTCTGATGTAGTGCTGATGTTTTCCATGCCCTGAAGATCCCAGGAACCTTTTCCTGGGCATTCTCAGGGTGTCAGTGATCCCAATCCAGTTCTCAGAGCAGACTGGTGATAATTAAAATCTGTTTAATTGGGGTGTTGGGTGACAGAAGCACCTCTGACTGTTTGGGGTGCTCTCTTGTCCCCCCAAGGGTGTCAGTGGCCCAGGGAGGGCTCTGGTGGCCCCTGAGGTGTCAGTGGCACAGAGTTCAGTGTTTCTGAAAGCTCAGTCCTGCTCTGAAGGACTGCCTGCTTCCTAAAAACCCCAAATCTGTCTCTCCCAAGAGCAAAAGTGTTTTTAACATCGCAATCCCAGACTCAAGAGCTGCCTGGTTCCCAAAAAACCCCAAATCCAGCTCTCCTGAGGGCAAAGTGTTTCTAACATCCCAGTCCCACTCTGAAGAGCTGCCTGGCTCCCAAAACCCCCAAATCCAGCTCTGCTGAGGGCAAAGTCTTTTTAAAATCCCAATCTGGTTTAAAAAAATCCCCAAATCCAGCTCTTCCTCTTTGAGCAAAGTGTTTCTAACATCTGAATCCCAGACTCAAGAGCTGCCTTGTTCCTAAAAAACCCCAAATCCAGGTTAATTGAGAGCAAGGTGTATCTGACAACCCAATCCCAGACTCAAGAGCTGTATGGTTCCCAAAAAACCCCAAATCCAGCTCCTCTCCCAAGAGTAGAGTGTTTCTAACATCCCAATCCCAGTCTGAAGAGCTGGCTGGTTCCTAAGAACCCCAAATCCAGCTCTCCTGATGGCAAAGTGTTTCTAACACCCCAATCCCAGTCTCAAGAGCTGCCGTGTTCCCCAAACCCCCAAATCCAGCTCTCCTGAGGGTAAAGTCTTTTTAAAATCCCAATCTGGTTTAAAAAAACCCCAAATCCAGCTCTTCCTCTTTGAGCAAAGTGTATCTGACAACCCAATCCCAGACTCAAGAGCTGCATGGTTCCCAAAAAACCCCAAATCCAGCTCCCCTCCTGAGGGCAGAGTGTTTCTGACATCCCAATCCCAGTCTGAAGAGCTGCCTGGTTCCTAAAAACCCCAAATCCACCTCTTCCCCTTTGAGCAAAGTGTTTCTAAAATCCTAATCTCATTCTGAAGAGCTGCCTGGTTCCCAAAAAACCCCAAATCCAGCTCAAATGAGAGCAAAGTGTTTCTGACAACCCAATCCCTGACTCAAGAGCTGCTTTGTTCCCAAAAAACCCCAAATGCAGCTCCTCTCCTGAGAGCAGAGTGTGAAGAGCTGCTCAGTTTGCCCCTGGTGTCTGTGGGGCCGGGAAGCAGCTCTGCCAATAAAAATCCCACTGTAAAATCCTAAACCCAGGGATTTGCTGCTGTCCAGGAGGAGCTGAGGGAGCAGAAACTGCAAAGATGAATGGGATTTCACAGGAGCTGCAGGGATGAAAAGCTTGGGATGGTTTTGGGATGCCCCTGGGAAGGGGCAGCCGTGGAACAGCTCTAACACAGATCAGATGTGTAGGGCTGTTCCCAAAAGCCATAAAAGGGCCCTGGAGCTGCAGAAACCATGGAAGGGGACCAGAGGGAGGCTGGCACTGGCCTTTGTGGGGTTTTGTTCCTGGGAGGCTGGAACTGGCCTTTGTGGGGTTTTGTTCCTAGAAGGGAACACCAGAGACAAGCTGGAACTGGCCTTTGTAGGATTTTCTTTCTGGAAGGGAACACCAGAGACAAGCTGGAACTGGTCTTTGTGGGGTTTTGTTCCTGGGAAGCTGGAACTGCCTTTTGTGGGGTTTTGTTCCTAGAAGGGGACACCAGAGAGAAGCTGGCAGTGGCCTCTGTGGGGTTTTCTTTCTAGGAGTCTGCCACTGGCCTTTGTGGGGTTTTGTTCCTGGAAGAGGACACCAGAGACAAGCTGGAACTGGCCTTTGTGGGGTTTTCTTTCTGGGAGGCTGGAACTGGCCTCTGTGGGGTTTTGTTCCTGGGAGGGGCAGGTGGGCACAGGGAGGGTGGGACAGCAGGGCTGGGGGTGATGCCTTGGGAAGGCTGAGCTACAACAGGGACTAGAGTGAGCTCAAGAACAAAGCAGGGATTTATTGAAAGGATCTCCTCAATGGATCCACCTTGGGCAGCACAAGAGCCCAGCCAGGGCTGCACCCAAGATGGACCCAAAATGGTCACAAAAATGGACAGCTGGTCATGAGGTCCCTCACTTTTATAAATTCTGCTCTATTTGCATATTGGAGTTAATTGTCAATTACAGCTTCAGCCATGAAGTCCCATATCTCTTGTTTTCTGTCTTCAGTCAAAGATTGCAGCTCTGTGGGGTCCTGGTCCAGGGCAGGATCAGGGAGTGCAGCTCCCCCTGGGATCAGGGATTGCAGCTCCCCATGGGATCAGGGCAGGATCAGGGATTGCAGCTCCCCCTGGGATCAGGGAGTGTAGCTCCCCATGGGATCAGGGCAGGATCAGGGAGTGCAGCTCCCCCTGGGATCAGGGAGTGCAGCTCCCCCTGGGATCAGGGAGTGCAGGTCCCCCTGGGATCAGGGATTGCATCTCTCCATGGGATCAGGGAGTGCAGCTCTCCGTGGGATCTCCATTCCAGGGATTGCAGCTCTCCCTGGGATCTCCATTCCAGGGGTTGCAGCTCTCCATGGGTCCCTGTTCCTTTTCCTGCCAGCTTTGGAGAACCAAACCCCATAAGTCTCAGGCTGAACCCCTGAACCAGCCAGGATTTCTCCTTGGAGAGGGATTTGAGCAAACCAGGAGCTGAGACAGTGCAGGGGTGGAGCTGATTTGCTGCTGTAAAATGAATTTTCCCTCTGTTCAGCTGGGAATTCCCACACCCTACAGAATTACTGTGCCTCCCTTCAAAGATGAAACACGAAATTCTGTTTTTCTTGAGATTTGGCTCAGTATTATTTTAAATCACTGTGGGCTTCCCCAATTTCCTGGGGGGAAAACCTGTTCCTTCTGGCTGCCTGATACAGAATCTCCCCTGAACATATTTGGAGTGGGAAGAGCAGCTTTTTATTTACCTGCTACAGGTTGTGGCTTAAAAATGTCATTTCCGTGCCTATTTTTCACTGCAGTGGGAGTGAAAAAAATCTCATTTTAGTGAGATTTCAACATCTCTGTGCTGAACAAACCCTGGGGATTCTCACCTCCTTTGTTCCTTGCTGTAAAATGGACACTTGTGTGAGGAAATTGGATAGGGTAGGTGGGAGGTGATTAAAAAGCAGAGCTGGGTGTGATTAAATGCTCTTTGTGCAGGACAAGTCGTGGCTTAGGCTGCTGGAAATCCCTGTGTGGAAGGGAATCTCTGGCATGGAGGCCAAGGAAAGCCATAAAATTCCCTGGAATTCACCTCAAACCCACTTTTGGGGCAGTTTTCCTCAGCCTGCATCTCCAGCTTGACGTTCTGACTGCCAGGCCTGGCCAAGGGAGGGTGGAGAGGAGAAGAACAAAGCCCTGGGGTGGGAGGGAGAGGATGGTCCCAATTAATCCCTCAGCCATGGATGTGCCAAGCCCCCTTGCCCAGGTGATTGCCAGGTGTAATCCCAGCCATCCCAGGCTTTCCTGGGGCTCAGCCCCTCCAGGAGCTCCAGCCTGGGACAGAGGGGACACTGAGGTCCCTCTGGGTTAACCCCTGAGGCTCCCTGGAACAGAGGAGGCTCTATTGACTTAGTGATGACTTAGTTCATCAACAGTTGTGCTTTTTTATAGTTTTGTTCAAGGCAGCTCCTTTTTCTTCAGGACTAATTCCCCAGTTGCTGTTTAACCCCTCTGATGGTTTCTTATTTTTTAAAGAAGCTTTGGAGCAAGTGCCCATTGCATGGAGGTGATCTGGGCACCTGTGGCTGCACCCACACCTTGTCCCATGTTCCTCTATTAAGCAGGTGCTAATCAATAAGACCTAATTAAGAAACTGCCATCACTTTCCATATGTGATTTTTAGGGTAACACAAAACAACTTTGCTAAGGTCGTCCTGAATTTCTGCTAGTTGTAGGGGCCAAATCAGATACATCTACTGCAGTTCAAGGGGTTAGGAAGGGGGGAAAGCTTTTCAAGGGAAATACAGGTTGGATATTAGGAAAAAGGTTCTTACAGAAAGGGTGATGAAGTTCTGGAATGGCTGCCCAGGGAGGTGCTGGATTCACCATCCCTGGGTGTGTTTAACCAAGCCTGGGTGTGGCACTGGGGGCCAGGGTTTAGGTGAGGTGTTGGGGCTGGGCTGGACTCGATGGTCTTGAAGGTCTCCTCCAACCTGGTCTTTCTGTGAATTCTGTAGGAGACATTCCCTGAAAAGCCAGAGATGTTTATGGCTCCAGTCAGCCTTCCTCTGGGAAACCCTTTATCCCAGAAACCTGGACTGTGGCTGCCTTTCTGCTCAGAAAACCAGGAGACCTTGGGATGACTCTGCAGCTTCCCTTTCCCAGTGGGAACAGACTCCTTGTGCCCCTCCTTTGGCTGGGATGGGCCAAGTGATGGGGCTGGGATGAGCCAAGTGATGGGGCTGGGATGAGCCAAACTATGGGGCTGGGATGAGCCAAACTGTGGGGCTGGGATGAGCCAAACTGTGGGGCTGGGATGAGCCAAACTGTGGGGCTGGGATGAGCCAAATTATGGGGCTGGGATGAGCCAAATTATGGGGCTGGGATGAGCCAAATATGGAGGTGGGATGAGCCAGGTAATGGGGCTGGGATGAGTCAAATTATGGA